CTAATTCCCGTAATTCAAACACTTTGTTCATTGGCGCAAACACTATGGGACTGTCTAAAACTTTTGTTATAGGTGAAGAACCCACCGACAGAGTCAAGTGCAGTCTCTTCCCTTCCCTCCCTCCCTCTACTCCACCCTTCCCTTCCTCTTTCTTCCTCCACCTCTCTGACAAAGTGAAACAAAGTTTACATTTAAAAACGTAATTCAGGTTAACACAACCACCCTGAAAGCAGGAATGCACTCTGCGGAATGTCTTGAATATGAAAGAGAAAAGTCGGAGGAAGGGCTTGAACAGCACCCTCCACAGAGTTCACACAGAGACTGGCTTAGCTGGAATCTTGGCTAGCATGGCAAAACCAGCCCAGACACCCAGCGTGCAGCCTGGCCTTGGGTGCCACTCCTTGCAGGGGTCTCATTCTTACTTCCACGTCCAGCGGAGGCTCAAGTTCAGGTACCTCCAGCTCTGAAGGGGCTTCATGGCACCCTCCCTTCACCCGGGACACTTGAGGCTCATTTCCAGCAATGTTTCCCCATCACCCACATTGCACCTACATGGGGGAGGAGAAGGAAAGTGGCTTGTACCAGCATGTCCTAGGCTGCTTCATAGGTACGCCATCGCCAGGTGTGAGAGAAAACTTTCCCATAAGTTAGACCTTATGTTCCTAAAGGTTTCAGATGTAAAGTCAGCACAGCATCCTGCACACTGAATTAGCAGAGTGTGCTCAAAAGCCCTCTTTGTGAACTGGAAGGTGTGCAGCTCGGCAGGCTAGCACGGTGGTGAAGGGACACCAGCTGTGGTAGGAAGAATTCCCACACGGATCCTAAGAGTCTGACCTGTACATACACACCCCATGAAACCTTTCCCCTGGGTTGTGCAGCAAGAATATGAATATGCAGATGAGGCAGAGGTTAAGGATATGATTAAGATGTGCAGTGAGCTGCTCTTGAGTTCCTCAGCAAGGAGATTGTCTTGAATGGTCCTGATTTAGGGGGATTTCTGCAAGAGACCCTCTTGCTGATCTCACAGGAATAACTGTTCTGTTCTGAGACCATGTGTGGGAAAATCTGTGGAGCAGAAACTCAGGGCAGGCATTTCTACCTGTTAACAAGAGCGCCTGGATGACAGCTGGCAAGAAAAAGGGGACCTCATTTGTAAAGGTACAAGTCTGCCAATCACTGCTTCAGGCTGCAAGTCAGCCTCAGAGGAGAGCACAGGCCCAGCCGACAACTTGTTTATGTCCTTGTGGGCCTCCCAGACAAGCGCTCAGTCTATCCACCCTTAGACACCGCAGCTACAAGGAGGGGAAGATAACCCTCTACGTTGTAATGATTATCACACAGAAATAAAACACTAACATAGGATATTTGGTTCCTAAGCATAGATAAGCAGAAAAACAAGAGTCTATATCAATAGCAGGTGAAAACCCAAAGCAAGACCAAACAACACAAATCTTTGTGAACTTGGGGAAGGAGTGTCAGGGACGCTTCCCTCACACAAGCCTTACCAACAGGACTCACACTTAATAAAGTGCATTGCTTTCTATCAGCCTCCAGTGTCATTTTCCAAACCACAACCAGCAAAGACTAAAGGAGAGTTGTGCTGGCTTCTGTGCTAACTTCCTGTGCCCTCTGCCCAGCATCAGGTGTGCTGTGCTTCTTCCTACACTTTTAACATGAAGAAAATAAAATAACAACAACAACAACAACAACAAAACTGACATTGAAAATTGTCTCCATAAAGAAAGAGTTTCAACTTTAACAAATTTCTTCAGATCTTTTGGTCAAACTATAGAAGACTACATAAAATATATACAAATATTAACGTTTTAAAGATGTTAGGCACCACCTCCTTGATGGGGTTCATCAAGTTACAATTTGTCTTAGTAACCACAAAGAGAAAGAAGCATTCTGTCCAAATTTAGCTAAGACTGGAAAATGTAGGCTAATGCACCATAATGTTTGAAATGAGCATGCCTTTATATCTTTCAAAAAATAACTTTTCATCAAATGGTATTTAGTAACAAATATCCATGCTACTTTTTTTCTAAATATGTCTGTAAATGCTTGGTTGTTATAGTTTCCCCTTAGCATTTATGATAATATTAATATACTTAAAGCCAATATGGATTCAGAAAAGTTACAATGTACTAAACAGTTAATAAAAGTAGCTATGTAAGCATGAGCTATATATTAGGATGATAGTCATATATGCCTGTGGGATTTAATTGAGAAGTGTTAGTCCATGCAATGAAGCAAATAAATTCATTGCAGTTATTTCTTTCTCCATAAATGGGGTGTATGGATTCAATAACTGAAGGACTCTTAGTTTCTCTGTCTCATTGCACTCCAATATGTACACTTTAGTTATGATTTCATTTAAGCAATATTTGTTTTCCAATAGTGTTTATAAATTGTATATCTGAAAATGAAAAGAAAGAGAATTTGATTGTACAAATCAGTAGAACATCACTGAGTGATAAAAATAATTTCTTCTCTGATGTCCTGACACACCATAAATCTGTAGACTTCTGGAGGGAAATATACTCTTTTCCACTGGAGAGACTTTTGGATAATACTCTGAGTTCTTATAGCATTTTTAATTTTGATAGTAAATAAGTAAGGGTAACAAAAATCTGTGTATTGTTTTGTTAGAAGGGGAAATGTCAGGATTTTTTCTCTTTATCTTTATTAAAATTAATTAAAATAAGACTAAAACCCACTTGAGAAGGGCTATAAAACATACTCCAGAAATGGAAATTTCCAGAAGTGGAAATGAATGGAGTCAACTTAGTGTACATGGAATAAAGTAGCAATATGAATATTTCAGCAGATTTTAATGGCAAAGGTAACACTTTTGATACTTTAAAACTTCCATAGAGCCTTGTCTCCCAAAAGAAAATAATGACTTTTACAAATGGGTCAAGAGAAAGGAGAATGTTCATAGGAAAGAGTTTCTCAAGACTAGCACTATTTAATAAAATTGTGTCAGCAAGAAAACATGCCATAATAAGATCAACTAAACCTTCAGCTCAAAAAGTGATATTCTCACAATTCTAGATTTAGTAAATTCTGTGATTGAGAATTTAAATTTTAGGATATTCAAGTCATCCTGCAATAAAAAAAAAGATTAAATGAGAAAAGTGACAATCTTTTTTGCAACTGAGGTTTTTTGTAACAAAAGTTATTCACTAATGTTATAACAAAATCTTGCCACTACCAAGCTCTGTATTCCTTACTATTTGGGAATACGGGGATTTCACACACCCTAGATCTCTCCAAGAATCCCCAGACCCTAGGAGCACAGATCAGTCATGGCTGCCAAACAACTTTAGGTATTTTACTTGTACTAACTGTTGGCATATAATGAGCTTCTCACATAAGGATTTAAATTTTTGTAACCTTTAAATTTTCTATTCTTTAACAACATATATTGGAGAGATTCATACACACACACAGATACACCTCTCCACATGTGCGCCCCTGCTTATCATGAGAGTCAGAAAGAGGCCACAGCCTCATACTGCAGCCTCTTTGATTCGCAACTGAAATCCAAATGTCTCTCTGTAGTGGTCCCCAGGGCTCTGCTGGGATGACTTGGTAGGCACTGCACTCCATACAACTAAATGACATAAGCAAATCACTATTTCTAATAACATCACCTCCGGAACATGCTCACGGGACTGATGTTTAGAGCACCTGGGTTTGGAATATCCAACTTTAAGAACTGGCATCTGGTCAGAACTGCTCTTCAGCGGTCCTGGATAGAGCAGCTAGAGTCAGCAATGCTGACTTTGGGGGTTGTGGCATTGGCCTTGAACTTGGCCTCAAGTAATTCTTATTATTGTCATCTAATGAAACCCAATATCCAGTAGCAGTGCCTAATTCACACATACTTCCTAACATCGAGTAATAGGAAAAGGGAGAGAATGGGTAACTCTAAAGATTATTTTAAAAGAACGGCTACCAAAAAAAAGTGAATTTCAAAAACAACACCCAAACAAAATCAAAAAGTGTTCTACCTTTCTGTCATGTAAAACTTGACTAAGTCTTCCAAAAGGTTAAAAATCTTGTGTCCCGCCCTAGAAATACATTCAGAGTGCCGGTGTGGGAGTGGAAGTTAAATTCCACACAGGCTTCAGAAGATGTACGTATATGGGTCTTGTATAACAGACAGGAAGGGGGACAAGAGCTCACAGGAGTTCCCTACAATGAGGACATGGGTATTCTGGTGGAACCTATTGACAGCATTTGCTAGGGACAGACCTAAAGCCCACAGCAAGATCCCTAGGCTCCCAAAGAAGGAGCCTGAAGGAGAGAGGACCTGACCGTGGTCCTGAAAGATCACTGGCTGGTTCCAGAAAGACACAAAACACCCTATCTGGATGAATATTTTTCCCAGTGCAACCAAAGAAGTCAGATATTCAGCACTATTTATCGTCACAAAACTCTGAAACTTCCCGTACGGTCGAGCCTTCACAGTACCCAGTTCTTCCTTCCTCAGTAGTCTTTCCTCGAGTGTCCTGGTCATTTCAGCATTAAGAAAGTCTGCCGACGGCTCACACCTAGCCTGGCTGGACCTCCTTAGCATTTCTTAATCTCCAACGGGAAGTCATAGGAGTCTGGAAACCCCCCCAACTCTAACCCGGGCAGCCTCGGGACTCCGGAAAAAAACAAAGTGCACAGCATCTCTCCCTGCACCAAGTTCCTCAAGGCACCACACAGTACAGGTCCCACCGCGAACCGCTTGTCAGTCATTCTTCAAACCTGGGTTCCAAACCTAGGCAATCTAGGGGACCATCTACAACAATACCAGGTGCTTTCACGATTTGTATGTGAGTGTGCGAAGGGGTCTTACTTTATTTTGTTTATTTCCCTCTCCTAAAAGATACCCTGGCTACCCTGGAAGGAAAGAAAGCAAATGAAATCAGGGAAGCGGGAGCAAAAGTCCAAGAGAAAAACCATCGTAGGGAAATGGTTCAACTCTGGCAAGCCCTACTTACGTGTTCCGTCGAAACGGGTGGCGATGGTGTCCAGAAAGGTATTCTGCGGAGCCAATAATCCTTTCATAACCGGCATTTTTCCAGCTCGGTGTGAAATTCCCCATCAAAGTTTGTCCAGAAGGATGGCTCTGCGGGAAAGTACCAAGCTAGGAGAAGCCACCGGGAGCGTGATGACGGCAGGGGCGGGGGGCCAAGGCGTGCAGAGGATGGGGCCAGGCAAGGAAGTGGGGAGGGTGACAGCAGAAGGAGCTACTCCCCGGTCGCCGAGCCCAGGCCAGAGCAGCACTCTGAACCCGCCTTCTTCCAGGCTTCGTCCCCTCCTTCTCCTGCAGTGACACCTCCGGACACCCCCAGCGTCTCTCCGTAGACCCTGCGAAAGCCCACGGTGGCCCGGGGCGCCGCGCCCTGACCTGAGCTCTAGGGTCTTGGAGCTCGGCGCCCCACCTGGGGAAACTGCGGGGCTGAGCCTGGAGTGCCCCAGCGACGCTGAGAAACCGAGGAGAAATGCTAGCCAGCTCAACTCCCGCCCCCCAGGAGCTGGGAACAAAGACCCCTTTGTTCCCGCTCCGTCCCTCTCCCTGGAGACCAGAGTCCCGTGGGTGTGGTGTCCTGGAGGGGAGGAGATAGGTCGCCGCAGGTAGCCCGCCTCCGCCTAGAACTTGGGAGGGGAGGCCCCCCACGGTGGTGTCCTAGGTAGCCAAGGCAGCCTGGGGCTTCGAAGGGAGGTGTCCCCCTTCCGGCGCACCTGCCATTGCCAGCTCCGAGTCAGCTGGGCACCTACCACCCCCAACAAACCCGGGTCACCGGGGTCTCTCCAGCCCTGGAAAACTGACCCAAGCTTGAGGCTTTGAGACCTCTCCTTCCTCAGCCCTAAAAGCGAATTCAGGTACCCTCCCCCTGGCCAAATTCTCCTTGCTCTCCCCAGCCCACCCAAACTAAAATGGGGGGAAAGACCCTCTTACATCGGCAATGGTTTCCCACTCTTCCGTTAAATGTGCACAGTGTTTCTGGAAAAGTTTGCTATTTTTATTGATTTTTCAAAATACATGGAAGTAACACAGGAGACTTCTGTGTAAAAACTGCTTCAACGCGATCCTCCCCGCCCCACCCCCCGCTCTAAGCCCCACCCCCACTCCACCTCACCCCCCCGCCACAGGCCTGGTGCCAGGAACTGCAGGTGTCTCAGAAAAACTAAAGCCCCGGGCTCAGAGAGGACTCTCCACCTACATTATGTTAAGGAAAGCCACCCAAACCTGGGGTGCGTCCCTGCGTGAGGGCGAAGGGTCACACGAGCCCAGGCTTCACTGAAACTCTGGCAAGGAGGAAAAGGAAAGTTACGAGCCCAGGAGAGAAGAACAAACAGCAGCCCAGGTGCTGCTGCACCCGGAAAGCAAGGAGGGAAACGCGAACAGGTGTCTGAGGCTCAGCAAGCAGCGCTGGGTCCCCGCCTCCAGGGTTCGGGCGTGGCAGCAGGTGCACGCGGCCCCGAAACATCTGGCTGGGGCTCTTTGCCAGAATCCCCGGGGATTCTGGGGTGATCAGGGACTCTGGGGGTTTCCTCGCCGTGGTCCTGGGTTCCGCGAGGGCGGGGTGAAGACTGAAAGGAGGTGGCTCCTTGTCCCCGCCCCCAGTCCCTCTTCTTCGTGATGCACTTCCTGCCACCGAGGATTCCCTTTGTGTTGAGATTCCAGATCCGCCCGCCACACGCGTGGGCGGGAGGACCCGGGATTCCCGGGGGGGAGGGGGTGGCCACCTCGTGAGGCTCAGGCCGGCTGTCCTTTATTCTTCCGGCTGCTGCTGCTGGCCAGCGGTGCCCCCTCCCTCCCCCGCCCCTCACCCTGGCCCAAGCTTAGGTCTGGAGCTAGCTCCTGGTAGGGAAACCCCTACTTGCCCCCACCACCACCACGCAGATGAGCTCTGCTGCCTCCCTCCTGGGCGGAGCCAGGAAGAGAGAAGGGGGAGTCCCTGCTTCTGCTTCAGTGGTTCCTGGTGCCCCAGAAAGCCAGGCTGCGGCTGCCTATGGAAGAGTGGGAAGTGGCGTGACGCTCAGCACGAAATTTATGTGTAAGCCACTATAAAGATTCACAAATATTTGAACTGTACGTGTGTTTGGGTGTCCAAAAAAGAAAAAAAAGAAAAACTGTTTCCTCTGATCTGGCCTGACTTGCTAGAAAGAAGCCATACAGAGGGTTAATAATGGGAATCAAAAGGAAGTTTGGGTCCCTTGGCAGAAGAAATCAAGTCATGGACCGTTCTTATTTTAGTCTTTTCTCCGATGCCCAGAACAAGGCAAGGCTAGTGCTGGGCACAACATCCTTGTCCTAAATTCACCTTGGATCGTCGCCCCCGCCAGTCTGTGCTTGGTAGGTGGACCACACAGCCTCTTGTTTCCTTTTTTCTACCAGCATGTCTTTCTTATAAAGATGACCTTCATTTCTTTGGTCTTGAGTTCCAGGATCTCTAAGTCTGCCCAAAGGCGCCCTGCTGTTTGCAGAGTCAGAGACCAGAATACAGTTTGAGACTGTGATGGGGTTCAAGCACTCTGAATCCTCTTGCTTGTATTTTGTCACTTTAAATCACCTGTCCTAAACCTTATCTTTTCCTTAAAGGAAATTTCCTAGCTGATGCACCAAAAGAGCACCCACTCATTCTCTTGCCAATCCTTCTCCATCGCAGGGATGCAGAACTCTCTCTGTGACCTAAACAATGCTGTAGCATAAGCACCATAGTACAGACAGCCTCAGGCCCTTGTGGAGCGCCCATATTTATAGAGGGGTCATACTGTGGACTCTACAATGTAACATAAGACACAAAATTCCTGTAACCAGAGCACTGGCTATGTTGAACTAGGAAGGCTCAAGGCAAAACTGACATAGGCAAAGTTCACTGACTAACTTACAGAACACTACCACAAATGTCACTGGATTCAAACACAAATCATATTTTGAAATATCTTTCAAGCTGAATCACTCGCTAGAAACCCTCTGACCACTAAGATGGCTTCAGGGATACAGTTTTTGTTATTCACTGTCAAGGCTAAGTAGGCTTCTTCTCCGTGACAGAGCTACATGGATCCGCTCACTGGTTCACTAAGGTACACTTGGGTAAAGTGGTTTCTTTGGTCTGTTGTATGGTGTATGTCTCCCCAAGAGAAGTCATGTAATGCTCCCTTTCCAATGATATTCTGCCTGGGCCCCTAGCCAGTGTGATGATGCCACTCACATTCTGCGTGAGCCATCTCTTCTCAGTTAATTCTCTGGAAGCACCCTCAAAGGCAGCCAAATCTAGTCAAGTTGAAAATAAAGATTAACCTATACACACTCCTAATACAAAGTTGTTTAAATAGAATAAATATTACTGACTCTTTCATTGAGTGCCTATGCAGTTAAAAAGGTGAATTTGGAGTCAACCAGCTTACAATTTCCAATTTCTTTTTTTTTTCATTCATAACAGTGAATGTTTAATAGAGTTGTAAGGAATAAACAGATTTATATACAGAAACTACACAAAGTTCATTAGACACTCAAAGTGAGCTGTTATTTTACAAGGCAAACTTCATTCTCCTAGATATACCATTTTATGGTGTATGTCACAAATACTATCTATTTAGAAATCTTATTCACACTACATCCCATAACTTTTCTCTCAAACTTATCTATAATATGTCCTAGAATTAGCTAAATAATGAGATACTCTACAGCATTAAAAGTCATGTTATGAGATGGTATTTAATAATATGGGAATCATACACACACACACATATATATATATATGAATGTATGTATAGCTTTTTTCAATTTCCAATTTCTTATTTCAAAAAATTATGAACAATAATTGACTTGCACAAAGATCCATGACATGGACAGAGAACAGCTCTCATACGGAATTCAATTTCTGAAAAACGTATAGTAACTGTGTGTCATTCTACATTGAAAATAAGCCTTAGACCACTCACACTCAACAATAGAGAGAGTAAAGGTTGGCTAGAGATGTCTAACATGGTCATGGAAAATCCCTAGGGTTTAGATCACTGTTGGATCACTTCCATCACTGGGTAACCAGTTCCTAAAAGACACATTTGTCCTCATCTGAGTGCTTTGAAGGAAAACCGGGAGGTACTTACAGTCTATGAGCCACTGTTGTGCCCCTGCTTTGTACTTCCTGTGTAGTCAGGGTGATAAGATTATGTTGCAGTAGTAAATAAAGACCCATTTAAACTCTGTCAACTAACTAGTGCAATCCAGTATGCAGAGTAAGGGAAACTCACCTCCTCCTGGTTTCACATGGAACACCTGCTCTCCTGTTTCTGCCAAGCAATTGCATGTGTCACTTGTTTGAGGGGCTCACTGATAAATATCTCTGAAGGACAGAGAGAGAGAGGAGGAGGGAGGTAAAGAAAGTAAGAAGAAAAGAAGTGAGGGGGTAAAGCATGTACTTGGGTCCCAGCCAACCTCATCTGTAAGAAGGCAATCCTAGCACCACTGTACTAGGTGATGGGAGATGTCCTTCTGTATATCTGTTTCTCTTATTAGTTGGTGAATAAAACACTGATTGGCTGATTGGCCAGGCAGGAAGTATGGGCAGGGCTAGGAGATGAGGAGAATTCTGGGAAACAGGCAGACAGAACTGGCCGTGTGAGACCAAGAAGAGAGGACACATTAGGTGTTCTGGTAAAGCAAGACCATGTGGAAATACATAGATTTACAGAAATGGGTTAATAATTAAGACAGAGCTAGCCTTCTTGAAGCCCCAGCCAGGAGCCAGCAGTTTCATAATTAATACAAGTGTTGGGAGCTATCGTTGTTATTTAGAACCTCTTATAAATATTGTCAGTCTTTTTTTAAGACTAGTCCATCCCCTCCCCAGCTTCCTAATGAATAGAATCTGGGCTCACAGGAATAGCTGATAGCAATCTACAGTTAGGTTACTCAACCTTCTTCCTTGCAATTAGGCTACTTAGCACTAACACCTCTTATCTTCATTCCTGCTGCTCATCCTGGTCTGCAACTATCAACATCCCTGGGTACATGACCAAGAACACTCCTACTAGACAACAGCCCTTCCCTTATTGTCCTGCATCCCCCTACCTCATTTCCCCTATTTAATCCTGTGCAGAACTTTCATTAAACGGCAGCTTGATGGGAAGGCCTGTCTTGCTGTCCATCTCTCTCGTATTTCCTGTCTCATTCATTTCAGGTTCCCATGGGCTCGAATCCCATTGTGCCCTGCTGGTCAGGGCAGTCTTGCATGTTTATTAAGGACCAGCCAGACAAGAAAACTATGCAACAACTAGGATTTTGTTAGTCCACTTGGTTAGCTTAAGAAAGACCAATAGTGAGTTACGTGTGTGTGTGTGTGTGTGTGTATTATAGTAGTTCTAGATTAGCCAAGTGTCAGGAGACTCATCCTGAACTCAAATGTCACCATCTTGATGGGCTAGGGTCCAAGACAGAGCAAAAATGGGAAAAGCCCCTACCCAGAGTAAAATGACAGACTCTGATATCCCCTATGTGGAAGGATTTGGCAATAGGGTGGGAGGGTGGGGGGAAAGAGGAGTGCGGGAGGAGGGGAGGGAGAGGGACTGGGATTGACATGTAAAACAAGCTATTTAAAATTTTTAAAAAATTGAAAAATAATAAATAAATGAGTGAATAGTCAAAATATCTGGAAAGAATAGGTACAGGCATAACTTAACAAAAGACTCATTCAAGGACTGCAGCATGGAAAGGCAAGAGTCAAGAAACATAAACACACGGGAAAAACCTTTATCTTTTGCTGCTTTCAAAACCCAGTTTATCTCTGGAAATCTCACCAACTGGCAATAGCCGAGAGACTACATTAATAGCCCATCCCTGATGATAAGGTCGATGACTACACCTTATATGCCATCCTAGAACCTTCATCCAATGACTGATGAAAGCAGAGACAGATACTCACAGCTAAACACTGAACTGAACTCCTGGAACCCAGTGACAGAGATGGAGGAGTGATGAGCAAAGGAGTCAAAACCATGCTGGTGAAACCCACAAAGACAGCGGAACGGACAAGGGGGAGCTCTTGAACCCCAGACTGAGAGGCCAACAGCAGACTGATCCAGACTCCATGAATGTAGTGTCAGTGAGGAGGCCTCAGAAATCTCTGGGGCCTTGGGTAGAAGATCATTGTTTACCATGGTGTACAAATGAACTTTGGGAGCCCATTCCACACGAAGGGACGCTCTCTCAGCCTGGACACATGGGAGAGAGCCTATATCCTGCCCTAGATGAAATGAAAGACTCTGGAGATCCCCCCAAGGAGGGCCTCACCCTCCCTGGGGAATGATGTGGGGATTTGGGGGCTGGGGGTGACTGGTGGAGGGACAAGGGAGGAGGGGTGGGAGAGGGAGCTGGGATTGACATGAGAAGCAGGCATGTTTCTAATTTAAATACAAACATATACTGAAAAAGAAAAAAAATGGGAAAAGCAGCAAACTACCTGAACATTAGCATTGGGCTATATATGAGCAGACTTGGTCATCTACTGTCAGAACAACCCATAATTCTGTGATATATCAGTGAGCTAATTGTGGAAAGCAAACAGTAGTAACTAAATCACTGTAAGGACTCAATAAGTGTAAAAGATAATTACGCTGGTTTATTTGTACATTTTAAGAAATTAGTTAATGAATCTGAGGTAATTGTTGGGTACTGGATTCTTGGAAGTCTGAAATGTATCCAGTAGCATCCTCATTTCTTGAACAATTTTCATAACAGTTGAGTCACAGGATCAAGTTGTATTTCCTGTCTTACTCCTATTCCATGATACTGAGCCTAGAGAGTGAAAGTCATTAAGTCTCATCACTCGCTCATGATGGTCTTTTGAAGGTACCCTGGCATAGGAAGCTCAACAGTATGCTCCCTGTACCTCTTCCGTTTTCCACCCTCTACTCTGATCTCCCACCTAGAATTTGGAGCCATGGGATTGTTTTGTGTGTATTGGGAAGGGAATATGATGAAGTATGATGATACATAGGTATGAAAACATCACAATGAAATCCAGTAATTGGATCCTGACTTATAAAGCCAATAAAAAGTCATAATTTAAAAATGCCTAGAACCCTACACTCATGGGAATTCTGTGGTAATACATTTCCTAATCTCTAAGAGCTTCTAATTCTACCCATCCTGCCCCAGTCTCTGTCGTCCACATTATCAGTTTCCCCATCTTATTTTCATCCTTTTTTAATCCCATAGAAGGTTCTTTCTAGACACATATTCATGGCTCTGTATATGTATTAATGAATGCCTGTAATCCCAGCACATGGAAGGCTGAAGCAGGAGGGTCATGAGTTCAAGCCCAGGCAAAGTTATAGAGTGAGACTTATATACAAACAAGCGTCAGAGAGCCAGCCACATGTTCATAAGATGCTTTCAGGGTCTCTCCAAATTTCCTTGCCCTTGTATCCTCTGTCTTTGCTGGTTCCTTCCCTCAAACCATTAGCACCCTAGGCCCCATGATCATGAAGAATGCCTTTCCTTGGTGTAAGCTTTCATCCTTTCTTCACATGAAGGTCTCCTCAGAAGAGACTGCATACCTCACAGTCTTCATTTGTTGCCATTTCCATATCAGACTTCTACAGTCTGCTTCTTCAGCCACCCTTTTACTGACTTAATGTTCTGGACAAATGGAGATATTTCAGTCCAAATATTTTTGCTATCCTTAATATTGTAAGTTAATTGCCTCTTATTTATTTATTTATTGGGGGTTCACAAATTTCTAAGACATCATACTTTCTGGTTTGGGACAGAAAAGCCTTTCGTGGTCACTTTAATATTTATTATTTCCTTCAGGTGCTATTCTCCTATTCACAGATGCTACAGACAGGACAGCTGGATGTCCCATCTCACCTGTCTGCACCAGGAGCACAGCTTCCTGACCTCGTTGCTTCCAGCATCCAGCTGTGGCTATGTTGTCACTCTGCCTCTCACATCTGTCACCTTTGTTAGACTCCAAGGAGCCTGGCATTCTGCATCTTGATTATAAATATGCCCCAAATCCTTTGTTTCTGTTTGTCTGCTTTTTTCATTTTGGTTTTTTGAGACAAGGTCTCATGCAGCCTAGGCTGGCCTTGAAGTTCTGATTCCTGCGTCTGCCTTCAATGACAAGTGTGTGCCTCGTCACCCACCTGCACCCATTCTTTGAGTTTCTGTTTCATTACTGGATGCATTCTCACCGCCCTCCACATTCTCCATCCACTTAGAACCCTGGCTCAAGGTTCGTCACCATATCTTGAGAAAGCCCATGGAATGTCTTCCAAGTGATTTGATGGTTTAGTTTTGTCTCCCTCAAAGACACTCCCCACATGGATCCTGAAACATGGTACCTCTGGCATTCCGGACTCCTCTGTCTCCCACTGTTCATTTCCCATTGCTATGAAGTTTTATGCTCATTCCTAGAAAGTTCCCCAGTGTACGGTGTTCTTCTGTGTTCTTCTGTGACTGTGTTGGATCAGACTGACCTCACTGCCTAACACTTCGCTCCTCTATGACCACCCCTCAGCTGTGTAGCATCTGAGCTCTACTCACCTGTGTAACTTTAAGCAAGGGCTTGCCTTTGCTGAGATGATAAGAACATACATTCACAAAGCAGTTGTTGGTTGACAAACGAGGCAACACAAAGTAATTATCACAATTTCCACTGTTTATTCTGCAGTGTATTCCAGGAAGCTCGCTGAGTCCTTAGTGCACTGCAAGAACAAAATTATTTTGTGGAGAGAATAAATATTAGTTACCAAAATTATTATCTCGACTACACCAACTGTCATGAATTTATTTGTTTTTCTTAATCAAACCCTGAGCTTGTAAGCTAGTTATCATGGTTTTTGTTTGTTTGTTTTCTGTTTTCGTTGTTGTTGCTTTGTTTTGTGTTGTTTTTGGTCTTTTTTGGTTATTTTTTATTTCTTTGTTTTTCCTTTCAGAGATGAGGACTGGACCCAGGGCCGTGTGCTTCCTCAGCTCTACCACTCAGCTAAATCTCCAGCCCTCTGCACCTGTAAGCCTGTGGTCTTATTTCATGCCTCACAAAAGCATTAATATGCCAGCCCTAGAGTTTGCAGAGATCCCTTCACAGATTCCCTCCTTCAAATTATTTAATAACAAGCATTTGCTATTAATTAATTCTCCCCCGCCCCTCTCTTTCTGTGTACATAGTTACCTTTTTATGTGTGCTCTTCGATTGCGCTCCACCTTATCTTTTGATGTCAGCCTCTCTCTGAACCTGGAGCTTCTAATGTGGACAAAGCAGCTACCTCCTGAGCCTCAGACGTTCACTTGCCTCTGCTATCCTACCCACGCTGTTGAACTTACAGGTATTCTGTATGGATTCTGTGTATCCAAACTCGTACTTGCAAAATAAGTACTTTACAACTGAGCCACCTCTCCAGCTCCAAATCAGATTCTTCAATTTCAAAACTATGCTTCACTATTTTTCTTAAACCTGTAAGTGTTCACTATGAACCCAAGATCTCATTCATGTCTGACCGGGTGTCCATTTTCTTAAGACATAAATATTTTAATAGAGAAACCCCATTTACCAGTGGGGTGCCTATTAAACTAAATGAACTGCATCTTACTGAATGTGTAAATATTGTGATATGCTAATGATGAAGGCTCTGTTCCACTCTCATAATGCAATCTTCCTATTTTTAAGCTATTCACACATGGATTAAAATTTACAAGTATAAAATAATATGAGTGTTACAATTATTAGAAAAATTGAACCTGATATGGGAAAGTGCAAACAGGAGGACCTGTGTTCAACTTAGTAGCACCCATGAGAAAAACCAAGACAGGTCAATTAACACAGCCATATGTGTGCAAAGGCCAAAGGGTGTGGTGATAGCCGTATGTGGACATGGAGGCAGGATGGTCACCGGGGCTTGCTAGCTTCCAGCACAGTGCCAGGTTCAGGGAACAATCCTCTTTGGAGCTGGAGAGAAGGTACAGCAGTCAAAGCTCTCGCAGAAAAGCAACAAGACCAGAGTTTGGATCCCTAGAACCCAGCTAAATGCCATGTGGCCGTGCCAACCGACAGGTAATCCTAGTCTAGGAAGGTGAGGAGCAAGCTGGCTAGTAAAACTATCTATCCCTATAGCTAGCTTTGGGTTGATTGAAAGATCCTGCCTCAAAGAATAAGATGGAAGAATGATAGATGTTACTTCCACATGAACCTCAGGCCTCCACACACGTGCACTCAGCTGCACATATATGAACCCACCACACACATGGGTACATGAATCCGCACATGTATACACACCACAAACTCATAAGCATGGAAACAAACAAAAACCAAGAACTGTTTCACAGAATAAGGCAGAGATTGATAGTTAGAGGCATGATGTCTTCCTTGGGTGTTCCTATACGTGAAGGTGCATCTATGCTAACACACTGACACATGAGGCACACATGCATTTACAAGCACATGAAAGAAACATGAACCCCAGAAAATGGTTTTGTTTCTCCTGAAAAGCTGCTTCTTTCTGATCCCCGGAGCGGAGAGCTCAGTATCTCCCAGACGAAGGCCGTGGCTCTTCTTCCCTTTCTCTAGACTATAGGTTCCTGTTTTCAGACTTTCACACATGAGTCTTTTCGAGTCTCCTGCTGCTCCGTTGTATGTGTTTAAGCCCAATGATTTAGCAGAGAATGAGAACAGACCCCCAGAGGTGCTGAAGATGGTAATGACATCATCACTAAGAGAACTGAAAACCAGGCTGAGCAACTGTGATGACAAGACATGGGTTATAGAATCTGAGCTCTGGTGCTCAGATGCACGAGTCCTTTCCGTCACTTCAGGCCTGTGGTTCAGGAATCCTCCTTCCTCTGTTGTAGGAGTACTACCCGAATTCTCTGTGGGGTAGTTCTTCACGAAGCATCAATAATGTCTTCCTTTTCAGTCTTAGCTTCTTCCCATGAATTGGAGCCTACAGAGATGACTTAGCTGTCAGGAGGAATTTCTGCTCTTGCAGAGAACCCAGGCTCAATTCCCAACACCCATGCGGTCGCCCTAAACCATCTGGAACTCCAGTCCCAGGAGATCCAACACCCTCTTCTTGCCTCCTCAGGCACCAGTCACGAAAGTGTTACCCAAACACGCAAGCAGGCAAAACACCCATACACATACATTTTAATTAAACAGAATTTAAAATAAACACTTTGAAAGTCTGTTAGGTAGTATTCATTACCTTTCAATGTTGCATAACTTGCATTCCCTTCTAAATCAGAGTGGTCTGAAAGCAGGGATTGTACTGCTGGTGCCTTGTATGTTTCATGGCATCTAGCATGAACCTCTATCCTTTATAGACTACCTTCATATATTCATATTTTCAGTACATGATGGACTACTACGAGAGCGAACCCTGAACACAGAAACCTAGCTGGGGCTTCCACAGTGCCAACTTCATGGTTAACAACCCTCCAATAATTCATTGCAGCTATTATCTTTGTTTAGATCCATAACAGGACCTTCCTTTCCCTTTCTTCTTTGCTAGATCCCTAACTCAACCCATCTTTTCCCTTTCTTCATTGTATTACTTAGCTTCTCGCAAATGCAGCTCAATATGCATGTTCATTGTACGGCTTCTACTTCTAATTCTTTCCTACTCTGGTTTGCCACTTTGCTTTAAAGTGACTCAACTTTTGAAGGTTCCATTTTTTTCTGTATCAATGTTGTTCCTAAGTGAACTGGAAAAAGCAATTCTGGGACATTAATATTTTTCCAGTTGCTGATTATGAAATGGCTGTCATATTGTAATGGCTCAATAAATGGTGGCTTCTTTCCCTGTGCGGCAGCAGCAAATATACTGAAAGCTGTCCTGTGAGCTAGTCACCAAGGGACCAATGTCACTCTGGTGGTGTTTCAGTTCAGAACTAAGTGCAGTAAAGTGATATAAAATCTGGTACATTTTAGAACAACAGTGCTAAAGAATGCTGTAGATAGTCTCCCCTGAAAAGAAAAGGGGGTTCTCTGAGACTAGACATGACTTTCCTCAGGCCTAACAGCTAATTCGAGAGCAAGCACTTCAGTCTGAATCGTCCAAGCCAAATGCCCTTGTGGCACTCCCTTTGTTCCTCTACTCTTCTGTGGATCAATACTTTTTAAACTATGAACACTTCTTGATGCTGAGTTCGTAAAGTAGCCAGGAACCTTCATTCTTTCCCTTTGAGACCTAAGTCTTCTGATAAAATATTTATGGCAGCTCATCTTTTGTAGACCACCTTCAAAGCGTCTTGAATCTGTTGAGTCATTGTGTGTGGAGAAGTTATTTCTGAAGTCTCAAGGTAAACAAGGCACATCCTCTGGAAACTTCTCCATACTAAAGGGCAGTGATACATTTCCTTTATAATAAAGGTCTTCCTAAAAGTTTCAGCTGATGGTTCTTGAACATTGCAGACCTATTCTCCATGGACAACACTCAACTGAAATAGAGAATATGATGTTACCTATTAGCCTGGAAAACAACTGCAGTGACAGTTTATAAAATGACCTATTGTGTAACTGCTTTTTGCCTTGACTCAAAAAAACACTTCCTCTCTGTGCTCCCTGCAACCTTACAAAGTGCTGTTCACAGTGTGTAGAAAAATGCCTACCCAGTGTAAGGCCCTCTCCTGTGCTCCAAACAGCTGCCATCTTCATGGAGCCTGTTTGCAAGAGTTCATCATCAATGAGCCTGTGGGTTATACACATCAGCTCCTAGTAGGAAGAGTCATTGGTCCCACACATGACAACCCAGCTGAGCCTTTCAGCCACTTGTTTTCAATTCTGCCCTAATTGCATATGGCTTCCTGGGCTTGGGGAGAGACCAGTATGTATAGGGAAAAGTAGGTGAATGGGGCCCTATGCTGTTATGAAGAAGCCATCTTCCATGCTGCTTTAGGGTCACCTGTGCTCCAGTAAAGAACCCCTCATAAATGACCAACCATTTTACCACTCAAATGCATGATGCTATGTGCTGTTGTATTCCAAGAGATACCCACATGACAATTTTTCTTTGTAATATTATAAA